TCAAAAAGTGCCCCGACCACCTCCTCGCCCGAGGCATGGCTGGTGGCAATGTCGAGGAGCTCCTTGGTGATTCGTGGACCCTTACATCACAGCTTGTGAACCAGGGACTTACAGGTGGTCCCGAATAGGAAAGCTCCTATGACGTCAACGTCGGCGATGTCGGGCAGCTCGTTGCACTGCCGAGAGAAGCACCGGATGTACACACGAAGAGTTTCCCCAAACTTCAGTCGGCAGTTTTTGAGATCACATGGGTTCCCAGGATGCGCATATGTGCCCTGGAAGTTTTTCCCACGAAGATCTCTTTTAGGTCCGCCCAACTTTGGATTCGGTTGGGCAGAAGGTGTTCCAACCACGTTCGCACCGAATCGGCCAGGAATAATGGAAGGTTGCCGATGATGAAATTGTCACTATCCGCTCCACCGGCTTGGCAAGCAAGCCGATAATCCTCGAGCCATAATCCGGGGTTTGTTTCCCCGTAGTATTTCAGGATGTTGATCGGCGGTCGGTACCGTGGTGGGAAGATGCCGTTGAGGATGTGTCGGCCAAAGGCCTGAGGTCCTAGCAAGTCGGGGCTCGGGCTTCGGTCCTCGCCGCTATCGTAGTGTTTGCCATGACGAGGGTGGTAGCCGCGGCTGGCCTCCTCCCTCTCATCGCCGTGGGGACGCCTACAGGCATCCAGGGTGTTGCGTGCGTCATGGTGGAAGCCGGGACACTCATGCACCGGGGCCACAGCGCACGGCCTGCCACCTCGCTACGCCTGGTGGACTAACACGTCCATGTCGGGTCGCTCTGATGGCGCGCGCTGGCTGGCGTCAAGCTCATGTCGTCGAGACAGCGAGCTCTCGGCCTGCTACGCCATCGCATGCTTGAGTAGCGTGCGAATCTCGCGATAGGCCCGACGATCCTCGTGTGTCGTAGGCTCCGAAAGCCCCTGGAGCAAGGCCGCCACGACAGCGTTGTTCTGGCTTGCCCGGGTGAAGTGTGGGAGGGCATCGTCGTCCTCGATGATCCTCCGGTTCACGTTGTGGGCCACGACGTGCGCGCGCCCTCCGTCTTCGTGGCGCTCGATCTCTCGCTCGAGCTCCACGTGTTCTTACTCGGGCTGGAGTCGTGCTTCTTCGAGCTCTTGGTGCCGCGCCCTCAACTACTCTACCCACAGGTGAGGTGGGGCCCCTGCATCCCCCTCGACCTCGTCATCGAGATCGTCTATTGGGGTAGCCCCTCCCCCATGGATGCTTTTGATGTATCCCTCGGGGGTACCTGCCATGAAACATTCTCGCGAGGGGTGATGGCTTCCCCTGCTAGAGTCAGAGTTGGAGAGCGACTTCGATTCTCCCACGAGAAGGCCATGAAAAGATTCCATGATATATTCGGTCATCCCCATGAACTCGTCATTCGTAGAGGATGGGGGCGTGCGCTGTGCCACAAGGTGGCCAACGGTCTCTACGGTGTTGCGTAGACCGAACGAGAGTGCTATTGGGATGCTCATGATGAGGTATTTTGGGGAGAGCGGCTCTCCTCCGACAAGCTGTGTCATGACATTGGCGAATGAGAAGGTGAGGCGGTGTAGGTCCTCTCGGGACGGTCGGGGTCCCAGGAAAGCACCGAGCTGGTGCTCTAGCCTCTCGTGATTGAAGCCAAGGAGCTGGTCGCTCCTTGGGGCGTGGGCCTCCGGTGCGTGTAGCTACAGCTCCTCAAGAGCCTTGGCAATCGCGTTGAGGCCGGCGGAGTGGAGAGGCTGGACGACGGCGGGAACCTGTGCCAACTCTCCCACCGTCATAACGATGAAGTCCAGGTTCTCGAAGTGCACGTGCGCGTTCGGGACCCAGCTGACGCCGTGACTAGCCATTCGAGGCCTGATGTGGACGCCGAGACACGCAAAAAGCCCCTACCTGGTGCGCCAACTGTCGGTGTTTTTGGACCACCGATGAGTAAATTTGTATTTGCGTGTCTGGCTCGGATGGTGTGCTCGGAGGACACAGGGTTTATACTGGTTCGGGCGGAACGTCCCTACGTCTAGTTCGCTGCTGCTCGTGTTACCAGCACTTGGTTTGTAGTAGGGGTTATAAACAGGCGAGAGAGGGAGAGGATCTCAAGTCTCTGGTGGAAGGGGTGAACGGGTGCTGAGAGCTCGCTTGCCGCTCAGCCGTGTGCTCGTGCTGTGTTCTTATGTCCAGATCCCCCTTTTCATGGGGCGCCCTGCTTCCCCTTTTTTCAGGCGAAGGAAAAGCGCGGGTTACAGAGGAGGGAAAGGAGAAGAACGAGAGAGAAGAAGGCTTCTAGGGTTGCCGTGTCCTTCTTCTCCTTTATGCGGGTCCTGCCGATCCTGTAGATGTCAACAAGGACGGCTCCATGTCGTGGCCCTGTTCGTCACTAGGGCCATACGTAGGCGCCATCTACCGGTGATGGCGTTCCACTCCATCCCAGCGGATGTCGTGGTGAACTGACGCAACTGTCAGCGTCCATATGAGGATTAGGCAGAACAGCACCGGCACGCCCGACACTGTTCTTGATGTGAATCCCCAGGTATGGCCCGTCATGGCCACGGGTTACATCGAGACGTGCCAGCCTCTTCTCTGGCGTCAGAGTTTTGACCCAGGCCCATACGCTTGGACCTGGAGTGGTTGGCGACAGTATGGGTCCCAATTTTTTTTTCCTCGAGGTCCGGCGAGATGGAGCCCGCGACCTTGGGCGAGACGGAAACCGCGTCCTTGGGGTCGGGCGAGACGGAGCCCGCAACCTCGAGCTCGGGCGAGACGGAGCCTGCGGCCCCGAGGCCGGACGAGACGGAGCCCGCGGCCTTGGGCAAGACAGAACCCGTGGCCTTGGGGTCGGGCGAGACGGAGCCCACGGCCTCGAGGTCGGGCGAGATGGAGCCCGCGGCCTTGGGGTCGGGCGAGACCTTTGAATACGTCTCGAGCCATCTAGGGAAATCAGCGTGGGCGCTAACTTTCTTGCTTTGGGTATCCCTAATATCGATACCCGACAATTACCGTTTCTAGATACGTAGTTTTAACTATGTATTGGGACATATGATATATGAAAATACATAGTACATCTTATAGTTTGGAACCAATGAAATACTGACTAAGCTAGCTGAATCCATAAATAAAGAATTCCTGAATAAGGGTGTTGTTTTAGGTTGCCACACTGAGGAATGACCAATGACTCTTCTTGCTTGGGTTTGTTTATTGTTACTCTTCTTTGCTTAGGCAGCCTGCATTCCAAAAGCGTCCCACCATCTCCAACGGCTCTATTCGCGGTGGAACTAGAATTTTCTTAAAGGATATACGGAACCAAAATTTTACATATATTTTGATAAATTCATATAGCAATTTGATAAATAATCATAAAATTTGTATTATAGTTTAGTGTATCATTCCTAGTCAATAACAAAAATAAGTCTTGAATTTAACAATTAAGCCCAAACTTGCACAAATTACAACACAACTAGTACTCGTCAAAGAATCGAACTCGCACCCACCTCGTAATGAAGCACACATCTTATTGGGTTAAGAACAAGACCTCTTGATAAAGCACACGTCTTATATTGGGTAAGAGATAGGAAAAAATGAAAACAAAAAGAACACTCATCTGGAATCGAACTAGCACTCCTTGAGTCAGGAACAATAGCAGCACATACCAAATCATGCATTTTAAATGAGGAATTACAACAAAAGGTCATCATTTTATGAATAAAAAATAACACAAAGCATAATCTTTTGGTACTCCTTCCTCCTCAAATATATTAGGTATCAAGCAATTTTATAGCATATTATGTAGTGAAACAAATGACGCATGCAACCCTCTTTAATTATCATATTTTGATTGGTGATAGATATTAATGGTAGGTATGTATGTGAATATTGCCTTTTGGAGGTTTGTACATCAATAATTTTTTATAATTTGGGATAAATTTGAATGCTTGATATCTTATATTACAAGACAGAGGGAGTATCAAACTACAACGGACCATCTATAACTAAAAAATGCTTGAATTTGGGGGATCATTGTAACTATGTTTAGCAAGATGCACGAAAATAAAATGAAACCAGCTTAAAATGAACCATTTTCCCGTTACTTGTGTGGTCCTAGGCCGGCTGTGGGTACATTGGGTAGGAATCGTCGGTGGCGATGGAACAAAACTGCATTTTAGTGACATTGTGGTTTTTTTAAAGACCGAGGTGAGATTTTACTAGATGTTATGTGAAATCAGGTAAGGTAGTTAGACGGGGTGGAGACTAGTAGGTGCACCCAATTTACGTCTTGCTTAGGATTGCTCCACTAACTCTGCTCCACAAACTTTATTGTAGAGGAGCTCTACAAAAATCTGGAGTTTCCGATTTAGGTGCTCTCTTAACTCTACATTTTTTTCGGGAGCAGAGTTTGTGGAGTTGCACGCTAAAAAAAGTGGAGTGAAGCCGAAAAACATGAAGCGAAACAGTCACAAACACCCCCTTAATATTAACAATATTGGTCGTGGTTTTAGTGATAAACTGTGTTTATTTCTAGATAAATTTGTTAATGCCCCTAAAGATTAATGTCTGGATCTGATTTATTTACACTCTCAATCATCCTATCAAGAAGTAGTAGAATATACACAGTAAAAGCCTCCTTTTCCAACCACTGAAAACTCAACAAAGAAAAGATAACCTTAGAGGTGGACGTACGATCTCGCCTTACATTTTGTAATTCACCAATAATCAGATTACCGTTAAAAAGGGAAAAGACAAGAGAACAGAGCAGTGAGATTATATGCTGGCAATCCAGACAAAAACGCTTTACCTCAAACACAAAGAAACAAGCAGTAATAGTTAACCAATCACAAACAGTGTACTAGATATGCAGGGCAGGCACCATGCACAGGGCAAAGGGCACAGGCTCGTCAGCTCGTGTCGTGGTCGTGGATCGTGGACGATTTGAAGGAACACATGAGCAAACCAACAGCACACTTTCACTTGCTTAAAAAAAGATGGGTACGTCGACGGTGTTGGCTGGCTTCAGGAGTGAGACCTGCGCCACCTTGACACGGTCGGCGTGCCCCGCCCCTGCTTCCCCGCGCTGAGCGGCGTCCTGTCCACGCCGCTGTCGGAGTCGTCCACCCTCGACGTCGCGCTGGCGCCCGGGCCGCCGCCGCCGAACAGGAACGCGGCGCCCCACCTGAACAGCCCCCGCCGCCGCCGGCCGCCCTCCGAGCCCAGCCGGTCCACCTGCGCCTGCAGCGCGTGGCACTGCACCTGCATGCGTTGGAGGCATCGTCGACGCACGTCAGTCCACGCGCCCACTCACTGACACTGACAGCCACCGTACGTACGTACATGTGGCTTTGGCTCATCATGACTTGCATGCACGCACAGAAGTACAAGTGCTACGCTACCTGGAGGCGCGCGACGTCCTCGCGGAGGCGCCGCAGCTCGTGGTGCTGCGCCGCGACGGCGACCTCGCGCTTGGACGGGCACCGCGCGCTGCCGCCCGCGGCGACGGCAGCGCCGTAGTAGGGGAGGTCGAGGGAAGCGGCGGCGGCGGGGCTCCTGATGATCTGTTGCGGGTCGCGGAAGGAGCCGCCTCCCGCGCCGCTCCACTCGGCGAGGCGGTGGTGGCCGGCGACGAGCTTGCCGCCGCCGCCGCCGTGCACCGACGACAGGAAGAGCACCTGGACCACGCAGCGCACCGGCAGGCGGTCGTTCTGCACGGCGTGCGCGGCCGCCTCCGCCGACAGCTTGCGCGCGTCGATCAGCCGGCACAGCGACCGCCGCTCCTCCTTGGTCGCGCGTGGGTGTGCCTGCACGCGTGCACCGCGTCATCATAACATCCATCGTATTCAAATGTCGAAATCCACAGGGATCAATGGATCATGCATCTGTTCAAAGGTCATCCCAATCTTCTCTTTCTTGGATATAAAGAGAAAAATAGATATTCGAGATTCCAATTGTTACGTTTCGCAATTTCGCAATTTCACAACTAATAGATTAAAAACAAATCAAAGTGCTGTGAGGCTTTAAAGACATGTTTTTTTTTCTTAGTTACGAATCAATCCAATTCACATAACATTCCTATAGAGAAAAAAAATGAGAGAGAGAAAACACCCACTTTCCAAAGCAGAACTATAAACTGTTTTATTTTCTCTCTGATATAGTTGGAAACAGGAGCAGATCGTCGAAGAGAAAGATACTAACAGGCATTACAGGACGAGCAGTGATCCAGCTGATGTGTACTGGAGCATCACATATATACACGGAGACCATGTGCGACGGCAGATGATTCTCTTGTTTTGTAGCGCTTGTAGATTGAGTTAGCTCACGTGATCGCTATCAGGATCGCATTGTAGCATTGTATGTATGTATAGCTTGCAGACAATGAGAAGCCAAAAAGATAGGCCCCCTTTTTACCACCCTTGATGTGACTAGACAGGATATCTGGTATACATGATTAGAATGATACTACTACTACTACTACAGTACTACTCCATAAAAAGAATCTAATTCCTATTTTTTATGAGAAATTCAAACAATTTGAAATTAAATTAAAATTATATAAAAATACTAACATTTATGATACAAATAAGTGTTATTAGATTAATTCTGAAACATGTTTTCGTAGTAAATCTTATGGAAGACACAAATATTGATAGTACCCATTATAAATTTGGTTAAATTGAAACCAATTTGATTGGTATATATAAATTATATAGTCATCTTTTATGGACCGATGGAGTACAAAGCAGTGGGTGGATCACGCTACAGACGTCGGACAGTAATTTCCTTATTTTGATTTTTTTTGAAGAAATGGAAAAGGAAGATAAATGTTCAGTAGAAATTAATTCGAAATGATTTTACTATTTGTGTACGAAACTGCAGACAGGTTGGCTCTCGAAGAAGACCTCCTCTCAAGTCCAAGAGCTAGCAAGAACTATTTGTTATTATCTAATCATGGTTCTCAAAAGATTAGTTGTAATTTACAATCAAACTGTGTAATTAGTTATTTTTTTTATCTACATTTAATATTCTATGCATGCGTCTAAAAATTTGATGTGATGGAAAGGGAGTGAAAAAACTTACGATCTAAATAAGGCCCTAGTACTAGTTCAGAGTTGTATTTTGGTGCCGGTTTTCTTCTGAAGTTAAAATCAGACGCAGCTTGTATAATCAAAGTCGACACTTCCTGATTGATAGGACTACTACTGCCACTGTGGTCAAACGCACAGAAACATGTGCCTGCTCCGTGCCACACAGTACCCGGCCAGGCGCCCAGGGCCATGGTATAGCAGCAGCATGCGTCCAACCCAGTCGTCACGTCGCCCGACGTACCGTACATCGTCGTCGTCGCCTCTGCATCTGCATGGATATTCGCGCGCCAATCACGCACACACCAACACCCTCTTCTTCGCCTTTTTGGCCTTTCATTCTCACATCCAGTCATCCACATTGTTTATGCGCGTGCCATGCGACTTGCCCACGCTTGATGATTCGCTTTGCCACGAGCGATTCAACATCGTCGTCATCCTTGTTCTATACTTGACTCTATCATAAGACTGAACTTTATCTAGGGCCCTCGTTTGTTTGTAACTTTGTATCATAATAATGCATCGGTAACATTTCATTTGTTTTTTCATGCCCCATTCTTAAATTGTAACCAAATAAAGATTAATTATACTCGGCTACACATTCTAAATTACAAACTTTTCTATGTAGATTTTGCTATGCATGTGTAGATATATGTAATAAAAATAACGTATGTAGAAAAACCAAAACATCAAATAATTTGGAACAGAAGAAGTACATCAAGCAAAAACTTGAGGAGAGGAACGTTTTATCCAATGGGTAAACCTTACTAATGTTGTTTAGTGGTGCACAATTGCACAAATAGTGATGCTCATTTAGCTTGATTTTTTTTGGGTGAACTATATTTTGAACATTTTTTTTACAATGGTGGTAGAGTACGGCTCAGTCATTCGGAGGTGCTCATCGGATAGGGTTTACGTACGTGTGTTCTCATAGGGGTGAGTGTGCGTGGGTGTTGTGACCATCTATGTTGTAGTGTTTAATTCTAAAAAAAAGTATAGAACGAAAAATGTGTTAGTATAGGACTGTTCAAGAGGACATACTCGGTGATATTTTTATATAAATATATATAAATGTAGAAAACATTCTACTTATAAACACGTTAATCTATGGGAGTATTTGAAACACACAACCATTATTAGTTCTGCAATATAAAATATATGGTATAAAAGAACAATTCACGAACGAATGGCCAGAGACCGTTTTTCTAACCAAGAAAGGAAAAGGAAGCATATTTATAGATGAAACCCATGATAATAATGAACGGATAAGTATGATTGCTCCCATGGTTATGCAAGCCGAACATGATCATTGTTAACCACAGAGAGATAAGTATGATTGCTCCCATGCATGCCCTGCACATGGATGACTAATTCAAGCAGCAGAAGTGCAGTGCACTCACCTTGAGGTAGGTGTCGACGGCGCGGTACAGGCCGTCGTCGGCCGCGCGGGCGTGCGCCGGCACCGCGCGCGCCAGCTCCTCGAACTCGGCCGGCCGGAGCCCGGCCTCCAGCGCGGCCTCCGCCAGGTACGCGTCCACGAGCCTGGCCACCCTGGCCGCGGCCGCGCCGCCGCCGCCGGCCTTGGCGCCCTCCCGCAGGAACCCGCGCACGAGGCGGAGCACGAGCGGCACGTCCAGCAGCGTGGGCGGCGACGCGTACGGCGCGCACGGGGCCAGCGCGCCGCGTGCTAGCCCGCCGAACGCCGGGATCATCACGGCGCCCAGGGAGGCCTGGTCCAGCCGCCGCGCCGCGCGGGCCTCCAGGTCCCCGAGCAGCGCCGCGTCCGCGCCCACCGTGCTCCCCGCGCGGAGCAGCCGGAGCAGGAAGTCGCACGTGATGCCGTCGCTCTTGCCGCCGTCCTTGCCGCAGTCGCCGTCGTCGGGCGGGAGCGCGGCCACGAGGGACTCGAGGAGGAGCCGCTTCCTGAGCCACGCGGCCGTGGGGCTCTCCGGCGGGAGCAGGAAGCGCCCGGACGGGGACGACGCGGGGTCCGGGAGCCACCGCGCCGCGTAGTACGACAGCACGGAGGCGAGGCTGCTCCCGGACCCGGCGGCGGCAGCCGCGGGCGGCCTGGAACGGATGGCGGCGATGGTGCGCGCGAAGGCGTCGACGTCGTTGACCACGCACGAGTCGTCGCTGGCGCGCGAAGGGGTGGCGGTGGCGGCCGGGGAGTAGGAGAGCCGTGGCTCCGGGGAGGCACTGTGGGCGGTGGGGTCGACGGCGCGCGTGCTTGTAGTTGTAGCTCGAGGGGATAGGGACGGCATCATGGTGCCCCGCCGGCCGGCCGCCGGCGTTTCTTTTGTTGGCTGCGACTGCGAGCTATGCTCTGTGCTGGAAGAGTGCGCCATAATGCTTCTTGTAGTGGCAGCACATCGAGCATGGCAATCAACAGAGTAGAGTGTGACACGGAGTGGAGCTACGCAGCGCAGCCCGCAGCCGCTATCCATGTGCTGAACTGCTGATGTGCCCCACGGATGCGTGGGTATGTTTGCTGGTGGAGTAGTGGTACCATAGTTCAGAGAACTGTAACGGCTCCATGACCCATGTATGTCAAGGTGAATTGGTCTTTCTTACAACAAGTGGATTGAAAATATTGCTAGTAAAGAAAGTGTAGATGTGAAGGTGAATTTGGTCATTATTTTCAAACTAAGAAAGGTTTACGATAAGATGTTCCTCTATTGCCGTTCCTTTTTAATTTAGTAGCGGATACATATGCTAGCAGTCTTTATCACTAGAGATAAAGATATGAGTTGTTCCTCACTTGGTCGATGGGGTTGTCTGTCGATCCTCCTGTATGCATACGACATTGTTCTCTTTTTGGAACATGATTTAGCGGAGGCACAAAACTTGAAGTTAAAATTATGTGCTTTCGAACAGTTATCGGACCTCAAAATCAATTTTCATAAAAGCTTGTTTTTATATGGTGAGGCACAATCTTTCACGAATGAGTACATCAAACTCTTTAATTTGGGTGTAAAACATGATCTCTTCCATTTAGATATTTGGGAATTCCATACACCACCATAAGATTTCTAAGCAGGACTGCTGAAAGGTCCTAATGGCTAGAGGGGGGTGAATAGCCTAATAAAAATTTCTACAACAACACTTAACAAAACGGTTAGACAAATATGAGGCGAAGCAAAAGTTATGCTAGCCTACTAAAAATGCAAGCCACCTACCACAATTCTAGTCTATATAGTTTCTATCCACACAATAGCTATATCACTATACTAAGTTAGTGCACTCTCAAAAGCTAACTAAAGAGCCACACTAATCAAACTAACAAGTCCTCACAACTAGCTACACTAAAGAGCTTGACAACTAGTTTGAGGTAATGTAAAGAGAGTGAGCAAGAAGGTTATACCGCCATGTCGAGGAAGGAGACAATCAATCACAAGAATGAATAACAATGAAAACCAATCACCTCGGAAACAAATGATGACACAATGATTTTTTACCGAGGTTCACTTACTTGTCGGCAAGTTAGTCCTCGTTGTGGCGATTCACTCACTTGGAGGTTCACGCGTTAATTGGCATCACACGCCAAACCCTCAATAGGGTGCCGCACAACCAACACAAGATGAGTATCACACAAGCCACGAGCAATCCACTAGAGTACCTTTTAGCTCTCCGCCGGGGAAAGATCAAGAACCTCTCACAATCACCACGATCGGAGCCGGAGACAATCACCAACCTCCGCTCGACGATCCTCGCTGCTCCAAGCCGTCTAGGTGGCGGCAACCACCAAGAGTAACAAGCGAATCCCGTAGCGAAACACGAACACCAAGTGCCTCTAGATACAAACACTCAAGCAATTCACTTGGATTCTCTCCCAATCTCACAAAGATGATGAATCAATTATGGAGATGAGTGGGTGGGCTTTGGCTAAGCTCATAAGGTTGCTATGTCAATGCAAATGGCCAAGAGAGTGAGCTTGAGCCGGCCACGGGGCTTAAATAGAAGCCTCCACCAAATAGAGCCGTTGTACCCCTTCACTGGCACAACACGGGGTGACCGGACGCTCCGGTCATATCGACCGGACGCAGGACCCCAGCGCCCGGTCGTGCGATGCACGCCACGTGTCCCCTCTCTTCAAATACTGAGCGCCCGATTCCAACGGTCAAGTGATGACCGGACGCACTGCTGCGAAGTGACCGGACGCTGGACCTCAGCGTCCGGTCATTTCCAGTAAGCATCCAGAAACGAGAAATCACGACCGGACGTGTCCGGTCATGCTCGACCGGACACACCTAGCGTCCGGTCACATAGCGACTCCCATGTGCGCTGCCACGTCAGTTGGACCGGACGTACCCTGTCACCGTCCGGTCACTAAGTGACCCAGCGTCCGGTCGAAGACCGACGCCAGCGTCTTCATGCTCCACCTGACCGGACGCGCCGGTCCTACCGAGACCAACGTCCGGTCACTTACAGTGACCTCCGTCTTTCTGTCTAGGGTGCCGGTGGCACCGTCGGACTATTCACACTCTACGGGCGGACACTCCGCCGGTGAAGTTTCTAACCCTTGCTCAAATGTGCCAACCACCAAGTGTATCACCTTTGTGCACATGTGTTAGCATATTTTCACAAACATTTTTAAGGGTGTTAGCACTCCACTAGATCCTAAATGCATATGCAATGAGTTAGAGCATCTAGTGACACTTTGATAACCGCATTCCGATACGAGTTTCACCCCTCTTAATAGTATGGCTATCGATCCTAAATGTGATCACACTCGCTAAGTGTCTCGATCACCAAAACAAAATGGCTCCTACCATTTATACCTTTGTGTTGAGCCTTTTGTTTTTCTCTTTCTTCTTTTCAAGTCCAAGCACTTGATCATCACTATGGCATCGCTATCATCATGTCATGATCTTCATTTGCATCACCACTTGGAATGTGCTAACTATTTCATGATCACTTGATGAACTAGGTTAGCACTTAGGGTTTCATCAATTCACCAAAACCAAACTAGAGCTTTCAATCTCCCCCTTTTTGGTAATTGATGACAACCCTTTCACAAAGATATGAATTAAAATTCAATTGAATCCATCTTGCTTGCCCAGGCATATTTACCATGTGTAAAAAGATATGGACAATTTTCATGAACTCCATATGATAGCGATTGCTCCCCCTACATATGTGCTAAGAGTTTGGATTGTAGCTTGCACATATGCTTAGATAGGAAATATAGGAGACAATATCTACCAAATGATGCTAAGGTATAAAAGATGGACCTTTGAAACGTGATACCAATCGGAGTGCACCAATATACCATCCTTAGCATCATGGTTAGCTCTATACCACTTGGAAACACCTGAAAATAAAATCACTAGATAAACTTATGAATGCTAGATTTTCATTTTATCATTCAAACCTACAACTAGCATACACCACACAAGCATGTATATTGAAATTTAAAACTTGTGCCATGCAAGCAAACATATGAAATGCACATTCAAATACACCATACTATGTCATGAGCTTGCTCCCCCTACTTGTGTGCTCAAAATTTTAATTGATCCCTTTCCTTTGTCATATTTCTCCTCCTATGTCAAGTTCTTCCTCTTTGTTGTCTTTTTATTATCTTAGTACACTAATATCTTTGTTTTTCTCCCTATGTACTAATATCACTAATATTTTTGTTTTTCTCTCCCTTTGTCATCAATGACCACAAATGTTTAAAATGTAGATAGGTTGAGATTATCAATGTCAATCAATGGGGTGAGGATCATTTTTCCAGATTTTGTTCAATCTAGATCATTTGTCAAAGATATTTAACTCGGTTTGATCGAAGAACAAGCTTCTTCACACCTCCAAATAAGGGTTATCTTATACCATGTTGAGTTAAACACTTAGAGCTCATTTTCTAGATTAAACACTAGGTTTACAAGCCCACAAACATGTCATATGCTACCACTAGATCAAATCATGCATAGAAGCAATAGTGGTACCATAAAAACATCAAATTCAATTGATTTTCATGAATGAGCCTATTAAATGTGAGAGATGACTAGATGCACTAAACATGTCCTTAGCAAGGATGTATGCCATGCCAATCAACGTTTACCTTAGATTGCTCGAAGGAGAGGTATGTCATATAAGTGGGGGGTGCATCAACTCATATTTGAGAAATCTAATATGTTCAACTCATTCCTTAGCTTGCAAAACCTTTTCTCATCCAATAGCTTGGTGAATATATCGGCAAGTTGATCTTCGGTGCCTACACTCTCAATGCAAATGTCCCCTTTTTGTTGGTGATCTCTTATGAAATGGTGGCGGACATAAATGTGATTTGTTCTTGCATGTTGAACCGGATTATTGGTTAGCTTGATTGTACTCTCATTGTCATATAGCAATGGCACTTTCTTGAACTTGATTCCAAAGTCACTCAAAGTGGCCTTCATCCAAAGTACTTGTGCACAACAACTAGCGGCGGATATGTATTCGGCTTCGGCGGTTGATAATACAACACTATTTTGCTTCTTTGATGACTATGAAACAAGTGATCTTCCCAACAATTGACATATGCCCGAGGTGCTCTTCCTTTCAACCTTGCATCCCGCATAATCCAAGTCGGAGTAACCAACTAGCTCAAACTTTGCTCCTTTGGGATACCACAAACCAACATTTGGTGTATGCTTCAAGTATCTCAATATTCTCTTTGTAGCATTCAAATAACTTTCTCTTGGTGAGGCTTGAAATCTTGCACACATGCATACACTAAACATGACATCCGGCCTTGATGCGGTCACATAGAGTAGGCTTCCAATCATAGACCGATACAATTTTTGATCCATCATGTTGCCACTTGCATCACTATCCAAGTTGCCATTTGTTCCCATTGGTGTACTAATAACTTTGCTATCACTCATGCCAAACTTCTTGATCATGTCCTTGATATACTTGCCTTGACTCACAAATGTACCATTCTTCAATTGTTTGATTTGAAGATCAAGGAAGTAACTTAACTCTAAAATCGTAGACATCTGAAACTCATTAGCTATCATCTTTCCAAACTCATCACAAAAGTCTTGATTGGTTGATCCAAATATGATGTCATCTACATAGATTTGCAACACAAATAAGTCTTTGCCAATCTTCTTAATGAAAAAAGAGTGGTGTCAACTTTGCCCATTATGAACCCTTTAGAGAGTAGGAAGTCCCTCAATCTCTCATACCATGCTCTAGGTGCTTGCTTCAAGCCATACAATGCCTTCTTCAACTTGTACACATGGTCGGGCTTCTTGTCATCTTCAAAATCGGGAGGTTGCTCAACATATACTTCTTCATTGATATAACCATTGAGAAATGCACTCTTAACATCCATTTGATAGAGCTTGATGTTGTGGGCACAAGCATAGCCTAGCAAGATTCTAATTGCTTCCAATCTAGCAACCGCGGCATATGTTTCTCCAAAGTCAAGACCTTCAACTTGTGTATAGCCTTG